GTAAAAACACTATCCAACCTTAGGACTTACCCTTGACTAATGCAATTCTCTAAGGAATTTAGTCAATTTAGGTCCTCCAACTATTTAATAAGGAAATTAGGAAGGAATATGAAAGGCAACTTTAGAATTAATTAAACAATTAATTCCATTTAAATGATAATTTTCTGGGGTGTCACACATCTCCAATGGAACGATATCTAAACTCTATATTGTGATTTGACACTTGATGAATATGTGAAAACCGTCCTTATCAATGACACACTTTTGTGAGACCTTCCCATAAATTTTTATCTGTGAGATAGTCGGGTCGGATCGAGTCAATATACAAATTTAATATTTATACTAGCAAATGTAATACTAAACCAGGAATACAATGTTTGTTACTTATAAGGGAAACATAATATTTTTGAGCACAAATGTAATACTTTTATATTTTTGATGTAAAAGTATTACTTTTTTCATCAAAAGTATTATATTTTCTTATAAGTAATGTTGTAATTATAAAGGAAAATGTAATACTTTTACGTCAAAATTTAAATTAAAAGTATTATATTTTTTCCTCAAGAGTATTACATTTTTCCATATAAGTAATAAATATTTTATTCCTAGTTTAATATTACATTTGCTAATATAAGTATTATATTTCATATTGTCCCGACCCATCTCACAGATCCATTCACAAAAGTTTTTGCCACATATAATTGTACACATGAAATTTGATTTTTTTTTTACATAGAACGATAAATGCATAAATTAGGAAAATTCTAGAATGTCTTTCATTTCAACCCCTCCCAACAATAAATAAATGGGTACTTTTGATTCATAATTTCTAAACATCCACAATTTAAATACAGTAGATCCATAATTTCTATACAGTAGATCTATAATTTCTATACTGCAATGATTTGTGAAATCATGGTTCAACAATTGGAATCTAAACTAAAGTATAAATTTTAGCTCACAGATTCTAGAAATTATAGATATACAGTATAGAAATTATGGATTCAGATTCCTGCGCCCCATGTGCATGGTGGCACATACTCACAGCATAATTTACTGTGTAATAGTTGGTAAACCAGTAAGATAAATTTTATCCATTTTCATCATATCATCTGGATCTATTGAAAAAAAGGAAATAACGTAAATGTTATTTATTCCCAATTTGGAAAAGAATTAAGGGTGTAATATAATCCGAGAAATTTCCATAATAGGAAATTTTTTAAGTTTATATATTCTTGAAAATACTATTTTCAAGAACATGCTATGCTTGAGAATAAATATCTTTTATTATATAGGGTATTTCAATAATTTGAATACCTACGTAATTTCCATTTCTAAAATGAGACAAAACTTAAATACAATTCCTAAAATGTATACATTCAAAGAACAACAAATGGAATATAATTCAAAATCTATATCTTGCTTTTCAATTCCCTATTTAATATTATTCTTTTTTCTCCAAACTCAATTATGTAAACCAAATATACATTAAGGGCTACTTTGTATGGATTTTTTTTTCCATTTCCGTATTGTATAATCCTGACCTTTTTTTTACATTAAAAAGAAATAGATTCAATTCTTTGAATGGAATTTTTTTTCGTCGGCCCACCCAATTTTTTGTAACTCCAAATGTTTAAACCCTAACCCTTTATATGCTCGTTACCAATTTCCCCCATCTATCCTCCCGTTATCTCTCTCTCTATCTCTCTCTCTCTCTCTCTCTCTCTCTCTCTCTCTCTCTCTCTCTCGCCTGAAGACGGTAAAAGAAAAAGGAAAATTGAAGTGTGCCGCCCAGGCAACAGGGGTTTTAAGGCGATTCTCTTCCGGGAGACGCTGGCGCTACCTGTCGTGTAGGGAGAGGAGTGGAGTTGTTGGTTTTGAATTTACCAGACTTTACTTTGGTTTAAAAGAATTAATGTATGTAGAATGAAGCCGCATGTATTAGGTCATCTATATATGCTTAGCAACAAAAGTTATCCATGGACGCTGTATGCTCATTATACCTGTTAGGAAAAGAAAAAAAAAAACGAAATAAAATTGGAATGAACATTATATAATATGGAGTCGTTTTTATCACTGTCTATATCAAATTTAATAAAGTGGTTTGCAATCAACGGATAGCGGATAGCATAAATAGTTTGGACCACCGGATTGTATTAATGGTTTACAAAGAGAAATTTGATAAGATTAAATGTTTACAATTAACGGTTATCAGGTATAAAGAAATTCATATTAATAATAATAATAATATGACGAAGATAACAACAATATAATAATACAAAAGAAAAAAAATAGTGATGGGATTGATCCCACATCATAAGTGGAAGGGAAAGGGAAAGGGAAAAAGGGAATTGAACATCGGATCGACATGGAAAAAGGAACCTAAAACTATCTAGAGTCATGATTTTTTCATAAATTTTAAGAAGTCGAGTGGAATAGAGGATTGAATTGAAGGAAAAAAGTGAAAAAAAAAAAAAAAAAAAAAAAAAAAAAAAACAAACAAACAAACTACTCAAAACCGTGTTGAGTTACCAAACAAATTTTGGTGGACTCGTCATTTACCAAACAAGGCCTATGTCATAATTTTTAAATTGGTCATCGATTATTAATTTACACAAAATATTCCCTAATTATGCAAAATTTTACTCTTTTTAATTTATTCCTCAATCTTATATGGAGGACTAAACTGAGTAAATTTTTGAATAATTGAGGGGCCATTTTGGATAAATTGGTAGTTAGGGATCAAATTGAGAATTATGAGATAGTTGGGTGACTATTTCGAGTCGTATCTAATTAATAAATATACTAATTTTTATCGACTCATAAATGATCATCAGAATCTTATTTTTATTTTCCCTCATAACTATCTTTGATAATACTACTTTTTACTATTACTCCGTACTTCTTATCATAATTTAAAATACTCATTTTCATTATAGTTTTTTCCATTATAGGTACCCAACTATAATACCCCATCCAAATTAAATTAGTTCTATGACTATCAAAATTTTCAATTTTGATGCAAGAGTATTCTATTTTTTCTACATTTGGCACATCGTTTAATTTGTCATCCAACCTAAGCCGAAAAATAGGTATCGAAATGTGAAAATATAGCCAGCCAAGCCAAAATGTAAAAAACAAAGTACCAAAAAACTGTTTTGTGCATTTTTGCGAACTTAGGTTGACAAAAAATTGTGCAAGCAACCAAATATTGAAACAGTTGAATAGTCCTACACCAAAATTGAAAATTTTGATAGGCAGATACCTAATTTCATAGGGGTATTCTAGTTAAGGAATCATCCTCATGCTCCACCGCCATACCATTATCCATATCCACCTCCTCTTCCTTCTACAGATACTATTATCCACCGGGACCACCACCACAACCTCTAGTGCCCCGAGCTCCAATGCCACAACCTAGAGGTCCCCAACAAAGGAGGAGATTGCTTGATTATGTTGCGGGGATATTGATGAAGAGGATAATATCTACTATCCGGGAGTAGAGGCGAACAACTTTGTAATAAAGCCCGGCAATGATTTCCTTGATTTCTAATAATCAATTTGGAGGCTCAAAGAGTGAAGATCCTATGAGTCACATGAGGCAATTTCTAAGGGTTTGCAAGACTTTGAAGATTAATGGGGTTTCAGTTGATGCCACTAGATTGAGGTTATTCACATTCTCCCTTAGAGATGATGCACAAGTGCGGCTTGATTCTCGTCATGACGATCATTTCCAAACATGGGATCAACTTCACAATGAATTCATGAGAGATTTTTATCGACCTTCAAAAGCTTCAAGGTTGAAGAAGTAAATCCAAACGTTTAGACAAATGCCTTCTGAGTCTTTGTATGAAGCATGGAAGAGGTATAAAGATCTACAAAGACAATGCCCTTATCCTAATATGTCTACTGGAGATTTGATTGTTTCTTTCTATGAGGGTCTTTCTGATAACTCCAAGGTCATTGTGGATTCTTCTTTAAATGGTGCTTTAATGGAGCTAGAGGCCGAGGATGCCAAAAATTTGCTTGACAAGAGTTGCTCCAATAGTGCTTTTTGGTATAGTGAGAGGTCTAATCATTAGCTAGGAGCTGGGATATATGAGATTGATCAAAGTTCTGCCTTGGCTGCTAAGTTAGATTCTGTGGTGCACATGGTTTAGAAGCTTGCTCAAAATCAGACTCAACCACTGGTAGTCAATATTCATCCGATTCCTACTCATGTTCCAGTTTCTACCTCTACACCATCATTGGTACCCTGTTATCCCATTTATGCTTCTTCTATTTGTTGTGAGATATGTGGTGGTGGTCATGCTTCAGTTGATTGCTATATTCTTGAGACCAGTTCACAAAGCTCACAGGGTTCACATGGTATGATTATGGAGCATGTTGATCATATTGGTTATGGGAGATCTTTGGGGCAAAATCAAAGAGGGTTCCAACATCAAAATAAAGGCAATACTCATCCGGGTTTTTCTTGGAGCAACCCATCAGGGGCTGCTAATCCTACGAGTGTTACTAGAGGGTTACCTCTCGAGTTTCAAAGTCAACAAGGTTACAAGGGGAATTATCAAGGGACTCAGCAACACTGGAGATCAAATCAAGGATATCATGGTCAAGCAAGTTATCAAGGTCATCAAGGAGGGCCTAGTCAATTTGGATATCATGGAAATCAATCTCATCTACCAGCACCCACAGTTGAGGCACCAAAGCAGCAAAGTTTGGAAGATTTGCTTCAAGCTATTCAAAATTTGAATGTCAAAATTGATCAAGTGGCTGCTCATAACAGGATATATTATATGCTTGAAAAGCAAATTGCAAACCAAGCCTCACCATCAAGCAACAAGGCTATTGGCAAGTTTCCGGCATATTCTGAAGATCCTAGGGAATAAGTCAATGCTATCACTACTAGAAGTGGGAAATAACTTCAAGATCCATCATTAGTAGTTGAAAAAAGACTTGACGAAGTGTTGAAAGACAAAGAGCCTAATGAAGATAAGCTTATGGAGAATCAAGATTTTGATGGTAATGGATTCCAAAAAGGTGGTAAAGGTAAAAACAAAGTGGTTGAGAAATATATTCCTCCATTGCCGTTTCCACAACGCTTAAGAAAAGTGAATATGGATGAGAGAAAAATGAAATTCTTCAATTTGGTCAAGCAATTGAATATCTCCATTCCTTTGCTTGATGCTTTGACTCAAATTCCTTCATATGCAAAGTTCTTGAAGGATGTTCTATCCAACAAAAGGAAATTTGAGGAACAAGTCACCGTGGCCATGCGTGAGGAATCAAGTGCAATTATTCAAAGTAAGCTCCCACCAAAGTTGAAAGATCCGGGTAGATTTTTTATCCCATGTGTGATAGGTGGTACAATGGTGAGTGAAGCGTTGTGTGACTTGGGTGCAAGTGTGAGCCTTATTCCATTCTCCTTGTGCAAAAAGTTACAACTTGGGGATCCTAAGAGCACTACAATGACAATTCAGTTAGCAGACCGTTCAGTAAAGCATCTCGTGGGAATTTTGGAGGATATACCGTGAAGATTGATAAATACTTTATTCCCACAGACTTTGTAGTGCTTGATATTGAGCAAGATGAAAATATTCCAATCATACTTGGTAGACCTTTTCTTGTTACAACAGGTGCAGTTATTGACGTTAAAAAGGGCACCTTGATGATTGAGGTTGCGGATGAAAAGATTGAATTCAACATCTTTCATAAGGCTAAGGATCATCCAAGTGCGGGGTAGTGCTTAAGGGTAGTTGCAAGTGAGGAATCAATTGTTGAGGGCACTTTGTCGAACTTGTTTGGCATTGATGAAGTACATGAAATGGGAGATGACACACTTTCTAAATCCACTAAGCATAAGAAGAATAAGTTGAAAGTCATGGGATTTGGAAAGATGACTTCAAGCAAAGGAGGTAAACCCTCCGATGATGATCAAAATGCACAATTGGAGCTCTTTAAAACCCCCTTAGCAATCCAAGGTGAAAGAAAGAAATCAAGGTCATCTTCAAGGCACAAGGTTTGGCGGCCAAAGTTATTTAACCCTCCTTGAATGATTGAGGTAACATTGGACATACGACATTAAAAATAGCGCTTCTTGGGAGGAAACCCAAGTTTTCACTTTATGTTTTACTTATATTGCCTTTTGATATTTTTTAAAAACATTTTGCTAATCATGTTATCCTTTCTTTGGTTAATCATTGTTCTCCTTTGGTGATATTTTCATTCTATGATATTTTGTGCTCAAGTAATTTTCAAGCACCCCCGCCCCCCTCCTCCTCCTCTTCCCCGAGGATCATTTTCAAGGAAAGTTGCACTTTAATTTCCATCCTCTTTATCCTTGCGTTTGGACTATTTTTGTGAACTGATCATGCTAGAAGGATGGATTTTTGTCATTTTTGTGAATACTTTTGTTTCATGGTGTTACTTTCCTTGTCATTTTGGTTATTGTTACTAACTTCTCTAACATCGGGGATGATGTTTTTGTCCAAGTGTGGGGGAGTGGTTCACTTTGGGCTTTATTTTTGCTTATCCATGCTCTTGATTCTTGAAAGAAAATTGTTCATTTTAGCATTTAGTTTTCTTTAGTTTGTTTCTCCTTGCATTTAGCTTTCTCTAATAGTAGTGGTTGAAATTTCCCTTTTTGCTAAAATCATTTAGGATTTCACCTTGTAGCCTTTTGTAGTTGTGATTACTCCCCTTTGTTGGTTTGTGGTTTCACTTGGTGGAACTTGTTACAACGCAACTTGTGATTGATGAGTCAAGGTGTAACACATGATTGATATATTCTCTTGCCAATGGTCCTGTTAACCACTTAATAATTGAATAAATTCTTGATCTTGTGTGTTGTGCATTGCTAGTGAAGGCTTATGTGAGATTCCGGTAATGGTTGTTTTGCTAGAACTTGGCTCATTACTCCCCAAGTGAAATCTAAGATTTGCATGTTTTGAAATGATTTAGGCCATTTTTGTTTATCCCTAGCCTTTAAGCCTACCCTTGTACACATATGTTTACCCCTAGTTATCCCCGTTGAGCCTTTTGTGTTTGTCCAATAAGTGCTAAGCACTTAATCCCCTTTATGTTTGTTTTTTCTTGTGTTAACCCTTGTCATTTAACCCTTAAACCTTAGCCAAAATGTTTCCCTCCACCCTTGAGAGAATATAGCACTTGTTCTTTTTCATTGAAGTGATTTTTTTTTTCTTTTAGAAGCTTGTTTTGTTAGCAACCCTCTCTATAATATTATCTAAGTGTAGAGGTCTTGATTCATTGAAAAAGTTGGTTTGTTAATTTTAAAAAAAAAATTGAAAAAAAATGATGAGAAAATTGAAAAAAAAAAAGTCATGAAAAAGGTGAAAAGGGAAAAGGAAATGAAAAATAAGAAGTTGAATAAAAGTTTTATAGTTTGCTTTGAAAGTTGTACTCAACCTCCACTACTTTAAAGTGTTGCTTTGTGTTTAGTTGTTAGTTGCTCCTTAGTTCTTTGATGTCATATCTCTTACAATCTCAATTGTGAATAAGTGTGAAGTTCTCTCCTTTGTTTGATTTCCTTACCCCTTCTTTGTCAACCATTCACCCTTAGCCCCTACAAGCCTAATAAAAGTCCTACTTGATCTTAGAATGCAATCTTAGAGTTAAACTAGTGGGAGTATGAAGGGCAAGCCTATGGAATCTCATTCAAAGTCAAGTTTTGCATAATCTCAACTTAGTATTTGTGCCACACTTGATCCTCACGTTATATAATAATTTGGTGGAGTTGGATTGTGTGCCACACTTGATCTTCACGTTATATAATAATTTGGTGGAGTTGGATTGTGGTTTGTTGGTGATAATAATTTGGTGGAGTTGGATTGTGGTTTGTTGGTGATTTAGCCCTTTTATTTGGCTATATTGATGATTTAGCCCTTTCCTCAAACAAAGGTTTAAGTGTGGGGGAGTTTTTTTTTTTTTTTTTTTTAATGCTACTGGCTCTATTAAAATGTGTAGTATAATAGTATATGTTCATATACTCTCTCAACCTACTGAAACACAAAGAACTAACAACGCCTCCACTGAGGCTCGAACTCATAATAACCTTCCAAATGGAAGTCCAACCCGGGTACCATTAGACCACATAGTCTTAATAAATGTGGGGGAGTTAATAAGTGTCAAAATGTTCATGTTTTCACCTTGCATTTAAGCTTATTTTCCTTTTTATTTGTTATATTTTTGCCCAAAGTGTCCCTCATTTGATTCATTTGTGTGTTTATGTGTAATTCTTGATGATTTAGATGAATTGAATGATTGTTGAGGCATTTCGAATGCATTTAGAGTCAATGGGTGTGACACTCCGAAATCCAAATTCAATTAATGGATTAATTGAGTAATTAATCCTATTTCAATTTGTGAATTAATTCCTAAAATCCTGAAAATTCAATACTTGAGAACTAATAATTGACTAGTCAACCCCAAAGTCAAAGTTGTACACTGAGCTTTGTAAGGAGTTCCCTTGTTCCTTACACTTCCTTATGTTATTAAGGGTATTCTTGACTTTTCACTTCTTGTTGGTAATGTAACCTAACCTAGTAGACAAACTTCATTCTCTCCTTACACTTTTCTAAAAATCTAGCTCCACCCTCTCTCTAAAAGGTGAGTAGCTTTTCTTCCAAGCCAAGTTGGAACCTTGCCAAAGCTTCAAGTGTTGCTTCCAAGATTCAACCTTTCTTATATTTGGGCATCTAGGAGGGTAAGATCTAAGTTCATCTTGTGTTTTTGGTTTTATCTAAGGTGTCTTTTCTTAAAGATAGGATCTTTATGATCTTTTGGTATGTTCTTGAAGTGGGTTTGGAAGGTGAGCCTAGTGAGGAGCTTGTTGAGGTGTAAAGTGAAGTCTTTAGTCTACAAGAGGTAACCCATGCTCTACAAAATCTATTTTGCTTACCTATATGTGATTTCTTGGATTGTACATGTGTTTTGCTATGAAATGTGAGTGTTTATGCATGATCTTGTGAAAATGCATATCTAGAGCTTGTGTTTAGGGTTCATTTGTGCCATTGCTTGGCATTTCCTTTGATTCAAGTCATTTTGTTGTATTTGGTGAGATTTGGCATGTTTTGGACTTGAATTTGAGCTTGGAGTTGAAAATCCCCGAAGGGATTATTTTGGGCACGGGGATGTACCCGCGGGCGGAACGACGGGCAGAGCCCTACCCGCCGCCCCACCCGCGGGAACGTGGCTTGTGGGAGTTGGTACCCGCGGGCAGGACCACGGGTAGGGGCCTACCCGTGGGTCCACCCGCGGGGAACATGTTGGTTTTGTTGGGGGATTTGTTCCCCGTGATTCTTTTGACTCGGTATTTGGTCTTTTGACTTCCCGATGTTCTTTTGTGGAACTATTTGAGTGTCTTCTTGATGTTTCGTATGTCTAGAACTATATGGTAGGTATCCATGTAGGCTTTGGTGTCTTGAATCGTGCTAAGTGTTCAACATTGTGTTTCGTTGAACCGTAATGAGTCTTGTGTGTTCTTCGGAACTATCTTTGGTTTACCCGTTTGATTAGCATGCTAGTTCGGTGTTTAAATGCTAGCATGTGTGTTGTTTGTACCTTCCTATTGGGTGATGATAACTTGTGTTATTCATCGTTGTTGTTGGACTGTGATCCATTTCTTGATTGAGTATGGTTTCATATCTTCGTTGTGATCTATTGATTGATTCCTGTTGTGGTGTGATGCGTGTGTAGCTTTACTTGGATTGCACGATTAGTGGTATGGGACATTATTCACCAAGGTATTGCAGCGGTCCTCGTGGTGGTCGTGACGTGATTATGGAGTTGTGACCTTTGTGTAAGGTTCACATGATTCTTGGGTGGCATGCGTTGCCGTGTGTGTGTATGGTACCCTCGATTACTACGAATTTGGTGGTTTCGTTGGTGGTCGTTGGTAGGGGACGACGGTCCCAGGACGGAAAAGGTTGGACTTGGTTGCACATGGGTCCTGGAGGTAATGGTTGGAAGAAGATACAAGGTTGGGGGTAGCCATAAGGTTGGAACCGGGCATAAGGAAGGCATATCAACTCGTGATGGGTGATGTCACGAGGGCTTGTGTAGCCGTTGTTTGTGAGTTCTCTTCTTGTGACGTGTGTAGTCACAAGGGCATGTGTTGCCTTGGCATGTGTTGCTATCGGTCTTGTCTTTATCCTTGTGTTGTGGTTATCCTTTGTGGTTTTGGGATGTGTTCCCGTATCTTTGTTGAGAGTGTTGAGTCTTGTGTTGACTATTGCTCTTGGTTTTGTACTTATATACTTACGTATTCCGTTTCGAAAATGGCTTTACAACTTATATCTTATCTATGTATGTTATCTCACATGTATTGGTGGGTTACCAGCATTATTCGCTGACCGGGCGTCGTCCCATGTTTTATTGTGTTCTTTCAGGTGATGTCTAGGCGAGTGTGCAGTCTAGTGCCTGTTAGCGTAACTTCTCCCGCTTGTTTTATGGCCTATGTGCCAGTTTAGTTGTAGACTTTTGAGACTATGGATTAGTTGTAAATAATGCAGATATT